TGGCTATTTTTCGGATTTTAGTATCAACGAACGTAGATTTGCTGAAAATTAAAACGATTATTCCTTTAATTACGGTGATATTATGGAGCGCCGCCACAAGTGTCACCTCTCTATTACTGTAAACCCTCTCTGCCGCTACGTTCTAAGCCAATTTATAAGAAGAGCAAGGCAAAAGGTGAGAGGAAGAGTTTTCTATTCTGGGTGTATTCAAATAAAATTGATTAAAAAAACACCAAGAGTAGCTGGCCCAACCTGCGACCACTTGTCGTATTTTGCTTCTCAGCGGTCTCTGTCCGCAAAATAGGTCAGGCAATCCATGTTTAGGGCCGTTTCAATGTGTAAACTTCTGGTTTAAACTGCGATATATCAGAGAGTATTTTTAATAAATTTAGGGTAGGTTGGGGCAAATTCGACCATGGGGCAACTTCGACAGCCTCAACCTAGACTTGGCTTTTGAGAATCATTTGACCCCTGTGTCGTGGAATTATCAAAGCCCACTTTTATTCGTTGCACATTTGATTCTATCTAAAAATAAAATTTGGGCTTTCTAGGCTTCCACTTGTTTCTTTTTTTAGTCAGAAAGCTCCAGAAAACACCCATCAAAGTTCGGCGCTCCGTTGCCGCGTACTTTTTGCTCTTGAAGAAAAAAATCGATATTTCACCCGTCATTTACTTTATTATACAGGCTTGTTTTCTTACTTCAAAATACTAATCAGTTATTTATAACCAAACTTTATCCTTGGGTTCATTTAAATCCAACTAGAATTAGAAATGTTGATTATTTAAATGATTTATTTAAAATGATGGGGTGAGATGTTGGGGGTTGGTGCAACTTCAACAGGGCGAAACGGGGCAACTTCGACACGCGGGTGGGCCAAATTCGAGTTACCAGCTTCATAAGCAGAATTACCAGTAGGCTACTAACAAACTATCTATCATTTATAATATCTTGTGTTTGTTTTTATCATTTTCATCGTTTGCTGAAATTCCTTGACTGGTCAGATACAAACTAGCAGAAGTTTAGACTAGACTAGATCTAGACTGCTCAATTATCGCATTTTCGGAGCTAAATGTGTGTGTGTGTGTGTGTGTGTGTGAGAGAGAGAGAGAGAGAGAGAGAGAGAGAGAGAGAGAGAGAGAGAGAGAGAGAGAGAGAGAGAGAGAAAGTGTGTGTGTGTGTGTGTGTGTGTGTGTGCGTGCGTGCGAGCATGCGTGTGCGCACATAGGCCTATGATGTGAGTGCGTGTCTTCGTGAGTGTGCATGCTCGGAGAAAGAGGAAGAGGAGGGGGGGGGAGGACTGGGAGAAGACAGAGAGAGATAGACAGAAAATTTAGCATTCTAGAGGAGTTGAGAAAGAGAGAGTGAGAGGGGGGGGGGGGCACAATAAGTTGAATAAGCACTCAGTAGGCCTACTGTTGAAGATATCCGCCCCCTGTCGAAGTAGCCCACAGCCCCTATCAGTCAGTATTCTTACTCTTTCACTTTCAGTCTATCTTGAAGTTGCCCCATGCGGGGGGTCGAATTTGCACCCCACCCCCTGTCGAAGTTGCCCCAAGCGTGGGTATGCCATAAAATCGTGATTGGTTGAAAATAAATTCGGAATGCAAATATAGAGTTGTAAAGAACATTATAATATAATAATCGAGAAGTAGAATGGCTGCTTGACACAACGATACCAAGATAGTCTGTGTTCTTTCATAAAGGCGGGAGCAGTTTCGGTTACTTTTGCGGCACTACACAAACCTGTCGAAGTTGCCCCAACCTACCCGTATTGAGAGCGGAATAAATATCGTCACTCATTCCAAAACGTCATTCGCAGATTTCCCATTTTTTAACATTTTAATGTTCTGCCCTTGGCCCGACCGCACGCCCTCAGCGCGACCGCATATGGAACGGGGTGCGACCATGCGCACACAGACATAACAGGTGCAAGAAAGTTGGGCGCTTTTTCGGTAGTTCCCACCCCCCTTATTTGATAGAGCCTGACCTACATCTAGATCTATATACGTTTGATTCGCGGCAAGCTAAGATGTCAAACCTAACAACTGCAAAACATTAAATTGTGGTAAAATTCAGGGGGGCAAGCCCCCCTGAAACCCCCCTACTCTTGGGGCCAAAACCGGCGAATAACAAATGTGGGGTGGGAACTACCGAAAAAGTGCCGAAAGTTGTTGGTACACTATTTATTTAAGAGGTCGCGGGTTGGGCCAGCTAGCTACTCAACTCTAGATATATCTAGATCTAGTTTAGAGTTTAGTAACTGAAGAAAACTTCTCGAAGAATATTTCCACACTTTCACTCCAAACTCGACTGCTGCACTTGCAGACGACTGACATTCTCAGAATCTAATGTATATCCTAGCTGTACATTTAGATCTTGAAGTAGGCCTACCTGAGATTTGGGGAAGATAATCTTTCCCAATTGAAAACACCACGTCACAGTTTGGGGCTGAACCGATGTCTTCCACAATCTCGTCCCACGTCGGTGGTTTCGGTCGCTCGGACAAGCGACTGGCTTTAGACATGATCACCATGGGAAGGAATAAAGGGTGGCTATTTTTTCGGACTTAGGCCTATAGTATCAACGAACGAGGTCTTCGTTTCCAAGTGGTAAAGGCCTAGATTAGATCAAGCAGCGGTGGCAGTGAATGTAAACAAATTGCAGAATACTGAGAATATAACCACAACAGTACAGGAAGAGGTCGACCAAAGGGAAATAATTCACGAAATGTATCTACTTTTAGCCCAGGTTTTTTTTTTCCTACGCAAACGAACACAGCTAGGCTTACTTTAAAAATAAAAGAGAAAAAAAAGAATGATTAATCATAGGCCTACGTCTACGGAGAGCAGGCAGAAATAATAAGGCAAATAATAATTCACAATCAGAGAAGATTCAGTAAATGTACATTGAAGGCCTATCCACATTTCATACACGGTACATACGTGTAAGCAACGTCATAGTAGGCCTACACCACAGAATTCTACACTTAAGTTTAAGTGTAGAATTCTGTGGCCTACACCTACACGATCTTTGGCTACGTCTGCGTATTGTAGAATCAAAGAGGAGCATATTATTATTAT